ATATATATATATATATATATATATATATATATATGGACTTTGAACTAATTTCAAGATTTTGTGAGAAAAACTTTTAGATACCTTCACCAATTTAGATGGACAATATTCTTTTAGGTTAGTGCCCTTTGTTAAGTTCAACCAGCATAATAATTGTTCATGAAGTGTAACAGCAAAAGGTGTTTGCTAGTTGGTGATCTTCAATAGTAATACACATCAATTAGAGTCGAAAAAATCAAACTTCCCCAACATTCGGAGCCAACCAGAGTGAATAAAAATTCTTTTTTTCCCGGAGAATCTGTTTAGAAAAGAAAATCATTGTGGTTTGCATTTCTCTCAGCGTGATTTTCTTGTTTGAAATTATTGCACCTTTAAGTTTTCAATCTGCCTAATGCACTTACTTAGCCGGAACTAGTTTTTGCTACAAACTTCTCAGCTCGTATTCTTTTACTCAGACATACATATATGCGTGTGTATCGTGTATCTATGTGTGTGTAAGAGTTGTGTTTAGTGTGAACTTGGAATTTGGAATTTGGAAAAGCGGGGTAGATATATACAGACACTGGACTTAGTCGAAAACCTAGCAAAAGTTGACCATTTTAACGGTATCGTTCAGGTTTGGACAATGAATGTTGATTTGATTGTTGTTGTACATCTATTCAGAGAATCTAGTACTGTACATTCTTGCAACCTTTTACTGTCAAAAAGCTAAAGGGCATTTCGTAATTTGCACTACCTCAGTTTTTACTCTATAAATACCAAAGAAAAATCGTTCAGTTCTTGTCGATCTCACATCTTGATTCCAATTTCGATAAAATTCATACCTTATATACTGATAATATATATAATATAGCTAATAAAATGGCTAAAGCCAAGCTCGTTTCGACTTCTGCTATCGTCCTTTTACTTCTTTTCTCGATTGGAATAATCTCGACTGAGGAAAGGGTACTAGTATCTAACATGGTCAAGACTGGAATTAGCAGAATTCCAGAAACGAGAATCCATAATAAACGGATGATCTTGAATGAAATTGCGACACAAGGCACAGATTTTCGCCCGACCACACCTGGGCACAGCCCTGGTATAGGGCATGCTAATGGACCTGCGAGCACCGAGCCAAAAGCCTGAATATATAAAGTAGTACATATATGTATATGTGTGTATGTATATATAGACATATATATATGTTGCATGCATGTTGGAATTTTTTCGAATTTAAGTAACATGTTGATAGTATCTGTGAACATTTGAATTATGGTTTCTTCCTGTTGTCCTATGTTTCATCAGTTGATAAAATTAGAAACATATACGTTGTATTACTGTCTTAAAGTGCTTGTAGTTTGTACACGATTTGGTTAATTATGGCAATTATTCTTCCGTTTCGAAATAGTTATCTTCGATACCGTTTTTAATAATAATAATAATTATTATTATTATTATTATTATAAAAATAATAATAATAAAATACACACCAGGAGATTTTTCTGTAAAAAAAAAAAAAAGAATTAATATATTGGTAGTTTGAGTACAATGTTCAGTGTTACAATGTCACTTCACTTACACTACCAGCAAGTACTAGGTTCTATTTCCATCAGTACAGAATCCTATGTTCCCTGTCCTAAACACTGAAACCCAACAATTTCTTTTTCCTGATTTTCACAGTCAGAATTTATTTTGTTTTTTTGCTTTAATTAGCAAAAATTAAATCCACACCAAAGTCACAAATAAATAAATAAATAACGGTAATTACTCAAAATAAAAAATATTAATAGCATTACCCAATTTGACGGCCGACCCAGACAGAATCACTCTATTTAATATTTAATTATTTCTACATATCTTAAAATTAAAAAAATCAACGGCCCACATCGCAAACCAGCTTCCCCAAATCGGACGGCTGTGATAAGCCCAGCGTAATCTCAGGGCTTACCATGAAAACCTCAAATCCTAGTGCCCAGCCTCCACAAACCTCTTTCTTCTTCTCCCTTACAAACTCAGATTCACCTATACTTACAACTTCCTTACAATACATCTTTTTCTATTATTATTATTATTATTATTTACAATTCTTTTTTGATTTGTTTGGAATAATTTTTTATTTTTTTCTATTGAAGATGCAGACGGATAACGGTTCGGAATCTCAACGGACTAGTTCTAAAGAGAACAACAGTAATAACGATAGTGGTGGTGGTGGAAATAGTAAGGTGGCGGCGGCGGCGGCGGCGGCGGTCCCGGGACAGCAGTGGGTGGCGATGCAGTACCCTGCGGCGGCGATGGTAATGCCGCACGGGATGATACCGGCTCCGCATTACGCGTCCCCTCACTACATGCCCTACCACCACCACCCCCTTCACCACCACCCTCCCCTTCCGCCGTCTCCTCTGCCGCAGCACCAGAGCGGCGGCGGCAATGGCAATGGCAATGGTGGAGGATCCAATGGGGAGAACCGCACGATCTGGGTTGGTGACCTCCATAATTGGATGGACGAGGATTATCTCGGTAACTGCTTCGCTTCAACTGGAGAGGTATATATATCTCAATATATATATATATATATATATATATATATATATTTATATATATTTATGTTATTTTCTTAATAATATGTTTTTCTCCTTTACTAGGTTATATTTGTGATTAATTTATATTTTATTTGATCTACATTTTGAAATATTTAATCTTCGAACGCCGAATTTGTTATTGTGTTGCGTTATAAAATTCGATTCTTGATTATTAGATATTAAATCATAATATATCTTAATATAGAGCTTGATGGGGTATTAATAATGTCGAAAGGATTAATTTTAGTAGCAATTTTAGTGATTCGAGAAGCCCGATAAATAATCAAAGTCTATTGATCGTACGAGAAAGAAAATATCTGAAATTCGCATTCTAGTGTATCTGCTTCGGATTTTGTTGTTCGTGGTTTAAACCAAATTAGGAGTTCGATCCCCTGCATTTTTTATTCGCTTAAAAAATATAAACAATCTTGGTGCAGGTTTCTTCGATAAAGATTATCCGAAATAAGCAAACAGGGTTTTCCGAGGGATACGGATTCATTGAATTTCTCTCACACGCAGCTGCGGAGAAAATCCTGCAGTCGTTTTCCTGCATTGCTATGCCGAGTACCGATCAACCCTTTCGTTTGAACTGGGCTGCATTTAGCATGGGCGATAAGCGTCCGAACAACGGCTCGGATCTTTCCATCTTTGTAGGAGACTTAGCTGCAGATGTTACCGATACTTTACTGCACGAAACTTTTTCCCAAAAATACCCCTCTGTTAAAGCAGCTAAAGTTGTGATTGACGCAAATACTGGCCGGTCGAAGGGGTATGGTTTCGTTAGGTTTGGTGATGATAGTGAGAGATTGCAGGCTATGACTGAAATGAACGGTGTTTATTGCTCGAGTAGGCCCATGCGGATTGGTGCAGCTACACCACGAAAGTCGTCTGGCTATCAGCAACAGTACTCCCCACAAGGTAGATAATGTAATACTTTTAAAATTTATTTAATGTGTTGAAATAATAATCCATTTTTTTTCTTAATTTTTTGTAAATAAAAAAATTAGTAGGTGGAGGTGGATACCTGAATGGTGTATCGGCTCAGGGTTTTCAGTCAGATGGAGATTCTGTGAACACAACAGTCGGTTTTTTTTTTTTTTTTTTTTTTTTTATTTTTTTCGTTTTTTGGAAGGAATTTTTGTGCTACTTCTGTGATTTTTTTTTGAATCTTTTTTTTTTGTAGATTTTTGTTGGAGGACTTGACCCTAATGTTAGTGACGACAATCTGAGGCAGCCATTTTCGCAATACGGTGAAATTATCTCTGTCAAAATACCAGTTGGGAAAGGATGTGGTTTTGTTCAATTTGCTAACAGGTAATTAATTATTTGATAGTCAAGATACTCTTACAGAGTAAACCAGTATTTTTATTTTTATTTTTTTTTAAATTGAAAAACGGGGCGTGCAGAAACGAGGCAGAGGAGGCCTTGCAGCAGTTGACTGGGACAACAATCGGAAAGCAAACCGTCCGTCTTTCTTGGGGCCGTAATCCAGCAAACAAGCAGGTAAAATTGTCTTTGCTACCCTTTATTACTTTTCAAATATCTCATTGATTGCAGCTCGTTTTTTCGAATATCTGAAAAGGCGCGCATTGAGTTAACAAATTCAAGAACCGTGAAAATTATAGAAAATTATTGTATCTCGCCTACTTGCTACCACTAGTAGACTTACGCGTTTGTTCGGTTTTGCAGTCGAGGGGCGATTTGGGAAATCAATGGACGGGGGCCTACTACGGGCCCCCTTCGTTTGACGGGTATGGATATGCTGTGGGCCCACCTCATGACCCTAGCATGTATGCTGCTGCATATGGCGCGTACCCCATGTATGGAACTCATCAACAACAAGTAAGCTGATAAGGCACCACCCCCCACGAAAATAAAGAAAAGCATTCGCTGAAACTGGACCAATGCACCGCCATCTTGTGCTTTTTTTTTTCTTTGGGTGCGTAAAGAATTCACCGATCCACACGCAATATGGAGCGGGCCGGGCCGAATTTTGACCTAATTACGTGACGTCGAACTCGTTAATTAGAACTAGACAAACTTTTAATAATTATTGTATGATAGGCAGCATTGGTTAAACTGGATTTAGTAGCATTGATAATAAGTGAAGGAACACATTGGTTGCCCATTTTCAGGTTTAGCTAACAAGGGGCAAATATGTACTTACTCTCTTATTCTTCAAACCAATGAGATCTCAAGATTTATATGTTGCTTCTAAAGCCTACCTTTTATTTTTAAAATATTAAACATACTTTTGATTACATGATTCTGTTTATATAGTGTAAGAAACATATTTTAATTGAATGAAATTCAGATAATTAATTTTATTTATTTATTTATGGACTTATTTACGGCAAGAGTAATTTGGTCTAATTAAGTTTGTTTTGTTTGTATTTCACTAAGGCCCTCGTTTGGTTGGCAAGATAAGATTAGCCAAGATAAGATTAAATAATCTAATGAGATCCAATTATTTTATTGGAGCTTGAAAGGTGCAATAAAAAAAACTCATTAAAAGGCAAGATAAGCCAAGATAAGGCAAGATAAGCCATGATTATATTATTTTGGCGGGTCGACCCGGCAAGTTATTGAGGATACCAAACATCAAATTAAGTCCAACTATTTAGTTAATCATGGCTTATCTTGGCAACCAAATGGGGCCTAAGGGTATTATAGTCTTTTTAGAACTTGAACGGGCTCCCTTAAAATAACACGAATCTGAATTTTTAATCACTTAATTAGTGGGACTGTAAATTAAATTAGTGATATTTGGAGGAAGAAAAAGCTGTAATGGAGTAGCTAACACTAAAATCACAAAAGCAAAACCTCCATCCAACACTTACAACGAAAATGGTGTCTCCGTTTTCTCTCACTACTCTCTCTCATATTCCTCCTCCGGCAATTCTGCGGCCTTCTTCTCCCCGGCGGTCTCTGAACGGAAGAATTTCTCTCAAAGTCGCTTCAGCTTCAGCCGATTACGCCTCTCCTAAAGTTGTAGTCACGAGAGAACGCGGCAAAAACGGCACGCTCATTAATGCTTTGGTAATCCTTTTCATTTTTTTGGCGAAAATTTCGTGTAAATCCTGTTGCAATTTGTGTACGATGCTTTTTTTTTTTTTTTTTTTTTTTGGAATTTGGTGTGTTGTAGGGTTTTATCGCCGTGACAGGATTCTGTGAATTATGTTCTTAGGTGCTGCATTACTATTAAATATTTTCATTAATACAGAAAATGTTTGTTTGGTTTTAATTTCGAAGAAGTTTGAGGGTTTTTGCTCGAATGAGACATGTGACTTATCGATTTTCTGGTATAGCGTGTGAATGGCAACATCGAAATTATGTTGTTTGTAAAATATTAGTCTAGTAGTTTTCTGGTAAAATATGAAATAATCAACTAATTATTTCATTATTCGCAATATTTTGTGCTTAAAGAACAATCGTCGTAAACAAGGGTTTGAGTGATTTCTCGTGATTTGAAATGTCTTAGTTTGCCTACATGTTATGCATAATGAGTCTGTTCATTCTGTAGTCTTCTGTAGTCCTGGGAAGTTACTCTTGGAATATCAATCGTGCTATTTGTACCCAACTCTCTTAAACTATTTTGTGTTTACTACAATCAGTATATAGGGCGGTAACATGTTCCGTTTTTTGTTTTCAGGAAACTCGTGGAATTGACTGCCTAGAGCTCCCTCTTATCGAACATAATCAGTTGCCTGATTTTCACAAGCTTTCTTCTATATTGAGCAGTGAGTTGTCAATGATTTCTGGTGTGCTGCTGTGTGGTGTTATTTGATTAGTAGCTAAATTTTGTAGATTATTTATCTTTAGATATCATGATTGTTAGTTTATTTGAGAATGTTTAAAGAAATCAATGAACATTCCATTTATCTTTTAGCTTAAACTCTAATCATTCAACTCTCAGTGAAGAGGTCATTCCAACTTCTGGCAAGTCACACACCATTTTGGCAATTGCACCTGCTAGGATTTTGAGAAAAGATAAATCAGGCTACGTGCAAGAACATTCTGAAGATAAAGAGGAAAACAATATTCTCTGCTTAACGTCTCAAATTCTGTCTTCGAAGTTTTTAAAAGAATGGATGTTGTGCACGTGTGTCTTTGCTTGTTTTTCGGAGCTTAACAGTTCCTTTTATTTTGTTTCAGATACTTCCATTGTTCAAAAAATACTTTAGGATCAGTTTCATTTTTTTTAATCTGTTCTATAGATGATTCTAATATCTGTATATCCCGTATGCTGCAGGCACTTCATTTGACTGGATCATCATAACTTCCCCTGAAGCAGGTGTTACATTTCTCGATGCTTGGAAGTAAGTTTCAGCTGCTGTAAGAGCCCTTCTCGTAATCTTAAATGATTTTTCATGTTCTCAAATAAATGATTCAACGAAGGCTTCAAACTATATCAATTTGTTCCCCTTGATATATCTTTCATGTTACTTACTAAGCTTATTCTTAGTTTACCTGCATTATAATGCTCCCTGTTAGTTACATTCAATTTGCACGTTGTTTTGAAATAGGCCACCGTTAGGTTCCGTCTAATGAAAAAAATCCATTTTAACTTTAAAGGATTTTTTCATTTGCGAAGCTCTTCATTCCCAGAAAATACAATATGTTACATAGCCTTTAGTTAGAGAGAATGCATAATCAACATCTCTTCTTACATTTCCAGTTCAAAACTAAATCACCCTTTTTATGTATATAAGGATAACTTTTCTTGTTATCTTATCTTTCAACTGTTGGGATACTTCTTTGCAGTGCTGCAGGAACCCCAAAAGTTAGGGTTGGAGTTGTTGGAGCTGGTACAGCAAGTATATTCGAGAAAATTGTGCCATCCTCAAAGCAAAGCCTCAATGTGGCTTTTGTTCCATCAAAAGGTGTTTGATCTAGTTCCAGACTTCAGCACTATGAATAACAACTTGAGAATGTCAGCGGCAAATTATGCACGATATATTCAACAAAACATGAGTGGGACCAAACTATGTTGATAACAAAGGGAAGTGACTTTTGTTTTGATCTTCAGCTACTGGCACTGTTTTGGCAGCTGAGCTTCCAAACTACTGTAATGCAAGGAGCAGTGTTTTGTATCCTGCTTCAGCAAAAGCTAGCAATGAGATTGGTTAGTGCCAAAAATCTCTTTATCTTTAAGTACTTCCATGTGCTGTTTCTTCCCTCTCGTCTTTTTGGTAAAGAAGGTCCACGGATATATGTTTAAAGCTGATATTGAGTACTTGTTATGTTATATGTTAACATAATCCAAAAGGATTGTATATCTACCGAAGTAATTCTATTCTTTTGGCTCTGTATATCAGATTTGCTATTAACATTTTTTTACGAAAAACTCGTTTTCTTGCGCTTTTCGAGCTATACTCATTACCTCATCATTTCAAATATTAATCAGTATTTTTCTTTTAGTGGAATTGAATGTATCAAAGTCATTGGCCATTCCGATACACCAAAATATACCTATAATTCTACTTCCGTTGGCTGAAATGTACTTTCAAAAGTCGTTACCAAATTTAAGACGCCTAGAGATTATTGAAGTATCTCAAATCACTTCACGCATTAGGAGATGTGATATACCCAATTTTCAAAGTTCATTAAGAGATGTCTTAGAAACTGGACTAGAAGTGAAAAATGATTGACGACTTTGTTCCGGCAAAGAACTGTAGAATCACTCGTAAAGACACGGGATCTTGTCTGCTTATACCTTTAGACTTTATTATCAATTTCGATTGCAATGTATTTGATCTCCATTTTTATAAATGCAATGTAAAGTAGAACCAATATTTAATATTTTTTATAGTCCTTTAAAACGCGTCTTGTAATCTTTATATGTCGTCAAAGTAAAATTGCCGACTAGCTTTATTTAGCTGAGTGTTTGGCCTTTTCCATTTCAGATGAAGGACTTGCAAAGCGTGGATTGAGGTACTAGATTAAATACTTATACCACGGTACGACACTTGTCTTCATAGTTAGTGTGCCACATAGTTGCACAAATTTAATGTTACTAGTTAATTTATATTGCAGGAACCTATTAGTCATGTGGATCAAATGGTTTTAGAAGAGGCACTAACTGCTCCTGTGATAGCTGTAGCTTCACCTTCTGCAGTACGGTAAATTTTTTCTCTTACTTCTTATGCTGAATATTTTTTGCTTACTAGAATTTTCTTGTGCATTATTTTAGACATTTTATTTGTAGCCATATTGCAATAAACTCTAGTTCAACCAACTATGTTACTGTCTATACATTCTTATATTGGGATTCCTCTTATCGAGCATTTACCATTGAAATATATTTCAACTCTTTGTTTTTAATTCCTCTTATTAGTTCAGCGTACATGTGATTTTGTTCTCTACAGTGCTTGGGTTAGTCTACTGCCAGAATCACAAAAGTGGGATAACGCTGCTGCGTGTATCGGTGAGACAACTGCTTTAGCTGCTAGAAAGTTGGGCTTACGAAATGTTTACTTCCCGTCAAATCCTGGCCTTGAAGGGTATAGCCTCTTTTCCCTTGGAAGATATTTGGGGAAAATTATAATGCCTTATTCTTGACCTTTGCAGGGGCTGAACCTTCGTTGAATGGATTTCGTATTAGTATAAACTAAATCCGATGTTCTTGTTATTCTCATTTTACAAGAAATATTATTGTCGGTTGAAAATATTTGCGTGTAAGTACATTTAAGTAAAAGTTGTTGATGAGGTTCTTTTAATAGGAAATACAGATAAGTGTATATATCTAGATGCAAAATAACTCGTTTTCGCTTGCTTCTTCATCTAGGAACACCGAAGAATATTTGGGACCCCAATGCTTCAATATATGACCTTCGTGTTTTTATCAGGTGGGTTACTAGCATTTTAGAAGCCCTCCAAGTCAACAACCAGTTGCACAAGGTCTAAGAGTTGAAAAACGACAGTTTCGCCCTCTTGACTTGGACGTTGAGTTTTTGGTCGTCTGAGGTAAGTCGAAGGCTGAATTTTAGCAATGACACTGTAGATGGGCAAATTGGTCTTAACTAATATATACTTGTAGTTACTGATTCGAGTGTATATAAACTCGCTCTTATTTTTATGCATACTGCATAAAGTACTTGTGTATAATTATTGTCGGTTTCTTTCATAGGATGCTCTTTCTTAAACAAATCCCGAATGCTCATTTGTCCCACCAAACCTTCGATCCCGAGTTTAATATCACGCTTTCTTCTTTTAATTACGCATATAAGACAAAGTACATCATAATACATTAATTATACTTTTTCCCTGCCCAGTGAATGTTTGTTATTCTTTTCCACTTCATCTTTCTCTCTGTGTGTGTGTGTGTGTTTGTTTTGTTTGTCTTAAGCAAGAAAGGGGAAGGACCATTGTTTGTGGTCACTGATAGCTGGCAAAGTCAATGCCAAGATGCTACCAGACAATGACTTGTCTGTATCTAATGCTTCTTTATTTATTTATTTTTGTCTGATTAATAGTTTGTTGCTATGCAACTACAGTGTTTGGACTTTAGCTTTGACCTCCCTCCTTGGGCATCATAATCTGCGGGTCTTTTTTTGTTGTGAAATTGCAATAATTGGGTCTGTCTTATTGGTTGCAGGAAATAGCCATAATTTAATAGCAAGGATTCTGTCTATATGCAGACAAGATCAACCAGGTGATGTTTTTTACATTGTTTATTTGCTGAACATAAGCTGATAAATCCTACAACTAATCCATACTTATTTCTAAATACCCTTTTTGGAGTTTTTCTTTAAAATACAAATAGGGAAAAATACAGTTTTGGTCCCCTCAAGTTTGCATTGATTTCACATTTGGTCCCCCATGTTCACAAAAAAACACATTTGATCCTTCACGTTTCAAAAATTCAACATTTTTAGTCATTTCCGTTAGTACGAACGGAATTGAACATGTGTCCATCACTTACTTAGATGACGGAGTGACACTAAAATGACAAAAACGACCAAAAATATTAAATTATTACAACACGAGAGACCAAATGTGTTTTTTGTGAACGTGTGACCAAATGTGGAATCAATGCAATTTTGAGGGATAAAAACTGTAATTTTCCCAAAACAAATATATACACTTAGATATTGATGAAGCTTTTTATTGGAAGAGCAGTTCCAAAGGGAATCAAGTTGAGCACTAATTGTCGTTTTGTGATAGCAACTCAAAATATATATATTGATAAAAAGGAAATTACAGATAACAGAGATTGAATCGGGAAGCTTAAACACGTGAAAAGCTTCGAGAATCAAGTCCAAACATTCAGCTCAAAACCTAAGAAACTTAACCTAAAAATCAGCTAGTTTCCCTCAGCTCAACTTTCCCTATTTATACCCAATCTATAACTAGAAAGTGCTACTTAAGATTAAAAACGTGAAAACGCTTCATCAGCCAACAACTCTTCCTTCTCTTCCTCTATTCTTCGGCCACGTGTCTTGATGAGAGCCGCTACTAATAAAAACGTGATAGGCTTGAAAACGCTAAACAGAAATGCGTTTTAAACTGCGTCTTAGTAATATAGGTGTGGTAAATATAATATTAAATAATCTGCATGTCTTCTTCCCTCTTCGTCTCTTTTCCTTGCATGTCTTCTTCTTCCTCTCTTACTATAATTATGTCTTCTGGAATGAGCTCGTAACATTTTGATGCTCCAAATTTTTTGTCGCAAATTTTTTTTGGCGTAAAAATGCATATTGCATTTGAATGCGTTCACATTCACGAATCACATGCATCAATTTCCGACCAAAAAAAAAAAAAAAATGTACCTAATTTCTCTTGGCGGGAATTTTCTCATGAAAACCTGAAAACGACTTGTCATTATTATCATACTAGTGGAAATGCTTAACTAAGCTGACAATTCACTTAGGTTCGAGTTGTCTGGAGATTAGTCCTAATCTAATCGTAGTAATTAAAATAATTATTAATAATTAAAAGCTTCACATATTTAGTATAAGTAAGTTGTTCAAGTTTTAAATGCGTCCCTACTCCCTAGAAAGATGGATAAACATTAATTAAATGTAAACCTTTCCGTGCACGTAGACAGTGATGTCTTGACTTAATTGTGAATTATTAAGTAATTATGTGGTAACTTTGATTTCATCTAATCCCATCCCATCTAGTGCTAATTAATGTTTGACAGGGACAATTTCAGAATTATTAAGAGGGTTATGATATTAATATTCTATTGATCATTATTGTTAAGATGCCAATTGTCTATGAATGAAATGATTATTGATACATGTAAACTATCTAATAGTACATGAAAGTGAAATTTTCGTTCTAACTTCACTTCTAGGAATTTCTAATAGTATATGGCCCCACAATGGGTGACCTAGCAGTTGAAAGCTTGTTTGGTTTGTGAGTTATTGCACGAGAGTGAAGATTTATAATTATCGTGTGTATATTCAATTATATATATGTTAAACAGTCGTATGTATATTTGTGTAATTATCCATATATTTCACCAAACTAGCATTGGATACTATGCTATAATCACGAGCTTGTTTGTAAATTGTAACCCATTCTTATGGCTACCATTGTTCAATCTAGTTCTTAATTTTTTTTATAAATGAATGAAATTAGTATTGTAGGGCCCCGTTTGGTTGCCAAGATAAGCCATGATTAACTAAATAGTTGGACTTAATTTGATGTTTGGTATCCTCAATAACTTGCCGGGTCGACCCGCCAAAATTATATAATCATGGCTTATCTTGCCTTATCTTGGCTTATCTTGCCTTTTAATGAGTTTTTTTTGTTGCACCTTTCAAGCTCCAATAAAATAATTGGGTCTCATTAGATTAGCTAATCTTATCTTGGCTAATCTTATCTTGCCAACCAAACGAGGCCTAGGTTTACAATTTTTCGATATTATTGACTCGTAATATGATACAACTCTTGACTGAAACAAACAATTTTAAACCGAAACCGAAAAAAAAAATAGAAAAAAAAACAGAGCATCATTAGGACAAGTGGAAAATTCCAAGTGCTAAAAAGAGGCATGTCTTTGGAGTGGTATTGATATTCTGTCATCGGAGTGCCATGTGATTTTTGCAGCTTTTCTTTTTCTTTTTTCTTTTTTTTTTTTGGGTCTAAACAAATATTGTCTAAAAATACCTAAAATTAAAATTACTTAATGTTAAATCTGTCGTAAATTAACTGATTTCATGTCTTTGTGTGGAATCTCAAACTAATATTTTGATATTTTTAAGAAAAAAAAAATAAAATATTCTCTCACTTAAAGATCCTAATGACACTCAAAATCTCAACTACTGCGGTGTATATATATATATATATATATATATATATAGAGGGTATCATTAATGTGGCACATACTTGCGGAACGAACACGAAAGATAATGAGTATTGTAATATATACTTCTCCCTGCTAGACTGTTACATTCATGCTCTCTCTCTCTCTCTCTCTCTCTCTCTCTCTCTCTCTCTCTCTCATATATAAATCAGTGCGCGCGCACTACTACAAAGAGTTGAATGTGTATAAATAAACTGTTCTTCTCTTGAGATAAATATGAATAGCAGAAGAAGTAAATGAAATTCATTTGGGGAATTGGGAGAAACTTCCCAAGAACTGCTAAAAAGTAGTCTGTTAGCTCTCCATTTTTGTAGGTACTCTTTTCAAACAACCTCATTCAATTCAACTGCTGCACCAATCTCCATTTTTCTGCTACTGTTCTGAAACTGCCCCAATGAATTCATTCTTCTCTCCGTTTACTCTCTTGATTCCCATCATTTATTGCAAATTTCACACACCATTAAAGATTCAATTTTTATTTTTATTTATTTATATATACATGTTCTTTTGTGGGGTAGTATTATGCATTAAATGAGTTGATTCATCTGATAATAATGGTGTGACAGGGCTCATTCACCAATCAACCGCACCGTTTTTGGGAGGGAGTGAGTAAAGATGACTACTACCAGAGCACGGATGAGTTTGCAGCCCATCAAGCCTGATCATGGAAATGTAATTCAGAAGAAAAAATATATATATATATTTTATGCCCTTTTATCTAATTTATTTTTTTGTATTTATAAGTGTTATTTAAGTTTCTTGAATTTTCCATCTTGGGAAAATGGCTTTCACTTGCAAGGGCAGGCTTCACAATATGAAAATCTTCAGAATTTTCGGTAAAGTAAGCATCTTTAGTCAGCTTCCCATGTGGGTTTCTGAATCGAATAATCGAATCGGGTCATTTTATGATCTTGGTTTTTCGGGTTTCTGAAAAATGTGGAATCGATTTTCTGTGGTTATTGTTGTTTTTTTTTTTTTTTCTAATGTTTAATAGTTCCTTTCTTGTCGAAGCTGATGTATGTTTGCATACTTATTAGCAGGAGAAAGTGGAAAAAATGCAGAGTAGCTGGATAATGGATGCTCATAAACCAAGTGCGAGCCGTCGTAATCGAAGTTCGATTAGAGATCGAAAGATGGCATTGCAACAAGATGTGGGCTTTTTTTTCGTTTATTATATACACTCGTAATTGTCTATTAAGTTGCACACCTTTATTCTTGTATATAAAAATTATAACTTTTGTTTAATTTTAATATTGTAGGTTGATAAGTTAAAGAAAAGACTTAGACACGAAGAAAATGTTCACAGAGCTCTCGAGAGAGCCTTTACTAGACCGCCCGGAGCTCTTCCTCGTCTCCCTCCGTATCTTCCGGCTCACGTTAGCGTCAATCCCTTAATTTTTTAAGGAATATGAATTGTTTAATTGATAAATATTTGTACGAAGAGTATCGTAACTTCTGAAGTGATGTGTGTGTGTAGACACTCGAGCTTGTAGCTGAAGTGGCTGTTTTGGAAGAAGAAGTTGTTCGCCTCGAAGAAAAAGTAGTTCATTTCAGACAAGGACTATATCAAGAAGCTGTCTACATTTCTTCGTCCAAGAAGAATATCGATAATTCAGCTGATTTTTGTCAAATTAAACCGAAGCAATCCAAGTCATCACTTTTACCTTCTCTTTCAGGTAATGTTTCTAGTCGAATAACCATTGTTACGTTATCGGAATTCGAATATTTTCTTATAATCTTTATAACTCCAATTTGATTTAGATGAAATGAGAGAAAAAGAGAACCGATCAAGCACCGATTCCTCGAAGAACAAACAACTATCACCAAATTTAAAAGTACAACCGGTAGAAACTCCCGTGAAAAAGCATCCCACTAAACGCAGATCGGTTGTATTACAGGTATAAATATTTATATGTTTCACTTAATGATGAAAATACTTAAAAGTGGTGGATTAAATTTGGTTTCTTTTTTTGATTCTTCAGTTGGAAAAGCGAGTAACGGAGGATGGTAGTTCAGAAGGGAAGAATATTCCGGATCATGAGGAAATATCGTTAATAGACGAGAATCCAAACAGAATATCCGAGAGCATTTTGAAATGTTTAATGAACATATTTTCAAGAATGAGCTCCAAAAATAATCGGATAATATCTTTTGATAGTGATCCTTATAATTTGTGTTCCATGTTCGGTACGAGAGATATTGGTCCGTATAAGCATTTATCTTCAATTGGCTCGGACTCTATTGATCGAGACCGAACAACCATATCCATATTTCTTGTTCAAAGATTAAAGTAAGTTTTTAATTTTTTTTTCATTTATCTTATATGGCAAATTTTTTTATATATATATTTTTTATATATATAGATTTATAAAACACATCATATTTTTCAGGAATCTGTTTCGGAGACTTGCAAGAATTAGCTTCAAGGGACTAAGCCATCACGAGAAGCTTGCCTTTTGGATAAACGTTTACAATTCGTGCATGATGAATGTACGACGAGTTACAACAATTCCTATTTATTATTAATCCACTCGATATTTAATCGTCATTTAACACAAATTTAGGTGCAAAGAAAAGATGATCAATAATTTGTTTTCATCAGGCATTTATCGAGTACGGCGTTCCAGAGTGTCCCGAACGGGTTGTTGAGCTGATGCAAATGGTAATTTGCTTCTTAACTTTTGATTTATTTATTTATTTTTAATCCATTTAATAGAAATTTAATGTTTTTTTCTCAGGCAACGGTAAATGTCGGTGGGCACATTCTAAATGCAATAACCATCGAGCATTTCATATTGAGACTGCCTTATCACTCGAAATATGTAAGATAACTAACTCTAAACTCACAGCTTTTGTTTTTTTCGACATCCTATTAATTCGACTGTTTGCAGACTTTCTCGAAAGCCACGGAGTACCAAGAGATGATGACACGTGGCATTCTCGGATTGGAATTATCCGAACCGTTGGTTACATTTGCTCTCTCTTGTGGAAGCTGGTCATCCCCTGCTGTAAGTTTATCGAAAATAATTCCTCCAAATAAAAAAATATATATACTAATGCCACTTTTAAGTCATCCATAAACCTCGATATTTTTCATATTAAAGGTTCGAGTTTACACTGCATCTCGAGTTGAAAACGAGCTCGAAACTGCAAAGAGAGAGTACTTACAAGCAGCAATCGGCATTTCGAACATTAAAGAATCTATAGCAATACCGAAGTTATTGGATTGGTACATGCTCGATTTCGCCAAGGATTTCGATTCGTTGATGGATTGGATATGTCATCAACTACCAACCGAACTTGGAAAAGAAGCAATGAAATGCGTGCAATCTTTTCGGATAATGCCTTATGAATTTAGGTTTAGGTACCTTTTACACACGTGAATAAGGTTTAGTTCTTGTTCGTTTCGTCGCGATAAATTTCCGCCCTTTTTCTTGGAGTTCGATTTTCTTCAACATAGATATAGATATATGTAAAAAAATATATATTTAATTCATTTTTGGAAGATTGAATATACAAGAATCAAAGATCCTCTTTATTTTATAAGCTACCTTACATTATGTAATAAAATTAACTGATTAGATATGTGTTTTTGTAAGTGTTGTGTGATATGGAAGCAATGTTGTCTGGTTTTGGTTTTAAATGTCAGAGTCTAATTTAATTTTATTGCAAGTGGTGAAAGACATTTCAGTTGGTTGATTTATTGGAGATATAGCTAAGAATCCTTGAGAATTCACTGTCAAATCATTATAGTTGGCCGTCTTGAGCTCGAGCAGAGTCCATTTTGTCGAGCTCGACCTCATATTCATTTTAATTTTTTTATTATTAAATATTAGTGACATTATAACAAAAAAAAAATATAAAATAAATAATGAACTATATACTTTTGTAATTTTTATGTGTTATTTTATATTATTATTATTATTATTATTATAATGTTTTATATTATTAATATTATTTAAATAAAAAATAATATATAAAAAATATAAAAGAAAGGCTCATGAGTTCATCAATAACTAAAGAAAAGGCTGGAGCTCTCAAAAAGTTGATTTTCCCACAATTTCTGATCATTTGTTTGTCTCAATTGCATAATTCAATCAACTAGTTCTAAAAAATTAAAATATCATTAGATTGTGTGTAATAGCAGTAAGATAATAGTCAAATCAACTGGTCAATAAAACACATAATATGGAATAGAATTTAAAAAAAAATTAGTAATAATTGGGCCCATAATAATTATATAAAAGGGCCGGATTATTTCTCGGGCTTCATAAAATGTAAAGTCCGCCCCCACTAACGCCAATTTCTGTGGAATTAGTTATCACTTATCAATAATTTTCTACACACTTTTTTTTTTTTTTTTTATTTATTTATTTTAGAAGAATATTTTTTTCTACTCTGGAGTCTTGTCGATGTGACTGGGGCTGACTCGGTGTACGACTTGGGCATAGATTTGAACCCCACGCACCGTATTTCTTGCTTCTATTTCTCAGTACTCACAACATATCATTATATCAATTCAGTCGAGTTCGAATTCCCTTATAAACGTTCGCCAAATCGGGGTTGCCACACATTTTAGTCTAATATTGTTTACTTCTCTCATATGGTTTACAAACTACTATATATTTACCAAATGCATCTATACGATTGACTGTAAATTCATTCATTAAAAGAAGAAAAAAAAAACTCGTGCTTATGAAATTTACCTTGTCTTTTAGATAGTTGCATACTATGCTGCACGAACACGGATACGTGGACACGGCGATACGCGGATACGGATATGGTGATACGGCATTTCTAAAAAACTAGGATATGGACACGCGGGGATACGCGTAAATATAAAAAATATAGGAGTATATTCATTAATAATAAAAATATAGAGGTACATTTATAAATTGTAAAAAATAAGTATAAGTTGTCATCGAATAAGAGAACCGCTCGCCCTTGTTGCTCGTGTTATTGGTCGCCGTCGCATGCTAGACTTTTGGTGGACTCACAAAGAAAACAGAGGAAATGTGTATTAGAGAGAAAAGAAAAATGACTATTTTTTTTTATTAGAGCTCTCTCTTAAAACGTAAGAGAAGTGTCTCAACTTTTTTAAAATTGTGGACACTGCCCGATACGGGTGTCCTACTTTTAGCGAAATTACGACACGACCCGACACGGATGTCCGAGTGTCCAAGTGTCGGATACAGTAACTCTTCACCTTCTAGAAGTGTCCGTGCAGCATAGGTTGCATACAAATATTTAGCATAGGTTGCATACAAATATTTGTATAGTAGATAATTATCTATACATATGTATAGATAATTACCAATTTACCCCCAACTTCAAATTATTTTCTAGTCATTAATTTCTTGTTTTTTATTTATTTTTTTAGAAGGGAAAATATAAAATGGAAATGTGAACACAAAGTGAGAGAAAGTAATAAAAGGCGGCTTCTGAGTCAAATTCGCTTGTTTGCTGTTTCTGTCTTCCTTCCTCTCAAATTATCATTTTATTGTCTCTCTTGTCTCTCTCGAATTTTCCACAGTTATATTAGTTACTTGTTTTTATTATTATTATTTATTATCTAATTAATTATAAAACAGAGTACGTGCAGAGAAAACTGTAGTAAAGAAGGAAAATAAATGGAGGTGATCGTACCTTCTTCACCGGAGCTCGATTTCGATTTCAGAAGATCTTCTTCCCCTTCCACGCCCAAACGAATCCGCGAATACTATTTCAGTGCTCCGACCAGCCCTTCTCATCTCTCTGAATTCTACAAGGATTTCGATCATTTCTTCTCCAATGACGGCGGCGGTGCGGTGGCTACTTCCGCGGTGCCGTTCGACTGGGAAGAGAAGCCGGGCACGCCGAAATCTCCGGTCAGGATTAATAGTGGAGATGATTTTGTGTTTGATGTCAGCCGGGATTGGGAAACGGCCTCGCTGTCTGCTGAAGAGCTCTTTGACGGCGGCGTGATCAAACCCTTGAAACCCCCGCCGCGGCTGCAGCTGCCTCCAGCGGCGAGGAGGGTCGTCGGCGAAGGTGGAGCCTCTCCCGGCAGGAAATCGATTTCGCAGACTAGGAAGATGATCCAGGGCGCCTTCTCGCCGCGGCACAGCAGGAAGAATATTGAAATCGACCCCTTCGCCGTTGCAGCTCGTAACGCCGCCGCGAGAGCGGCGCCGGTGCCGGAGAGAGGGAGGGAGCCGAAATCGACTAGCCGAAGGGCGGCGCGCTCGCTCTCTCCGCTCAGAGACACCCATTTATATCAGTGGGAAGAAGAAGAGCAGAAGAAGAAGAGCAAAAGAACTCTTCGCCGCCGAGTTCTGTTTGTTCGGCCATGTCGGCGGCGTGTGGGAAAGGGCAGAAGAAATGGAGGCTGAAGGACTTCTTCCTGTTCCGCAGCGCGTCGGAAGGACGCGCCGCCGACAAAGACCCTCTGAAGAAGTACACTGCGGCGTTCAGACGGTCGAGCTTCGGAGGAACCGATAGCCCCGGGTCAGGGTCAGGATCCGGTTCGAGAAGAAGGGGACCGGTTTCGGCTCACGAGAGGCATTACAATGTGAACCGGGCGGTTTCGGAGGATCTGAAGAAGAAAAGCTTCCTACCGTACAAGCAGGGCATTTTGGGGCGGCTCGCATTTAATCCCGCCGTACACGCCTTGGCCAATGGCTTCGGCTTTTCTCGTAAATGAATATATAAATTAATTATTTATTTTGCTTAAATTAATCTTTTTTTTCCCTTTGTTAATTTTGGATTTAATTCATGCATCAACAATTTTTATACGATGTGCAAAAATGTTACGCTTTGATTTAATGATATATGTTAACGTGTGTTTTTATGTGTTATAGACTTTTAGTACATCATTTTTTTTCGTTCAAAGAATACTAGAATCGGATTTTCATAAGTTTTAATTCGATTTTTCTCCATTTGAATCACATATAAAGCGAAGTTATCGGTTATTCAAAAATATAGTAAAACTGCACCGATGACTTATTATTCGAAGATTTGAACACATTTACATAAAATCATTTGAAAGTTCTTCATACATTTTACACTCTCGCACTAGTTTGCAAATACGAGAAACGTGAATCACACTAGGTTAACCATGAGTGACAAACTCGACCTAGCAATTGTTGGCAATGAGATTCGAACATAAGTCAATTAACACATGCTCACTTAATCCAACAGCTAGGCCGAGACTTATAGTCCAATTTAATTAAATATGAATGTGTCGGTAATGTAAAGGGACATATCCTAAATATTTTTCCAATATTCATATCCATATTGAGATTATTACATAAGCCAATCACTATCTGGTTGTTGAGAACAGACAAAACACAAGTTGGTGCTATGTGCCTTAGGTTGAAATTTTTGCTCCTAAAATCACTAGACTTTATTGTGTTCACCAACTACCTTTGTTGGCTAGATTAAACTAGTGTATAATTTTTTTTTAATTTTTAAATCAATCTATTTGGAAATGCCTGAATTAAGTTTATAAACATTTTTCCGACCATCGTAAACTATGGTTATCTCTATGTTACATCTGGAGAAAGTTATATTGAGTCGAACTTTTTTATCATTGATCTACGGACATCAATGTAGGTGCATATATTTGTGTGCTTAAGAATGGTAAAGATATACTTACCTGATATTATTCACTCAGTGTAACATAGTATAACCTATAAATTGTAAACTATATCAAAATATTAATAATAGCTTGAATATTCGGATCAATTACAAAGCCTAGTTTTATAGCTAGGTCAGGTCACAATTATAATTTAATATTGTCTGTCAATCATTTTTAAATCACAATCTATATATAATGACGTTCATTGATTTGTTAGAAGAGATTAATGTATTCACATGAAAGGCCCCTACCAACTTAGATGAAAATAACTTGATAAATTAATAATATAGATAGATACATGTTCCCATTATTAATATATATAGAAAATAATTAAATAAGTAATAACACTAGCCAACAAACCTTCTACTTTCGTTGTAGTAAAACTATGAATTGTCACATTGGACCAACTTTATTACTGATTTATTGTCTTCAATTTGCGGTGTGATTTTATTACGTTTTTATGTAGTTGCGCACATATTAACAAATATGCATACATTGTAGCAAAAAAAAAAACATAAGAAATCACTAATTTACCCTCAGCAACTAACTAATTAACAACGATGAAGGACAAAATTGGAAGAAAAAAAAATAATTAATACTTTATTGGTAATACATAGTGACAAATAATTTGGGACGAGAAAACTGTCAAAATAAATTTATATTATGGGACGGAGGGGTAATGGGTTTTGTTACATAATATGTATCAAAGTTGGGCCTCTATAAATTTTGGTGACATTAATTTTTAATAAAATCATGATTTGTTATTCGGTTGGATTTGACAATTTGTGACAGATTTAAGTTGGGCCGGTGCGCACGCGCTCCATACACGAGTGGGGCCCAATAAGCAATAAAGAAAAGTCAATGGCGATTCAAACTTTTAAAAAGCGATAGAGATTCCCTCCAGGCTGGGGTGGGTCCCAGCATACGTGGAAGGCGTTGAAATTATACTAAAATGCTAATCACTTTTTGCGACTGATCTCAGCCGTTGATTCTACTGACTCAATCAGACAGATCTAGCAAGTAGCTACTCTTCCCCACCAGCTGTCTGTCATTCAGCTAAAGCAGTCAAAAATCGGCACCCCTTAATTAACTTACCAACGTTTTTATATACGTTTTTAATTCAATCTAGTCTTTCATAAATAATATCAAAATTACCATATTTGCCATTAAAATACATAATTCAATTCATGAATTACCCACAATAATTTTAAGATGCAGGGGAGGGGATAAAATTCAAATTTACACTATATACGAAAATTTGCTTCCTTCAGTTCATGAAATAGTGCTTTATTCTTATTATATACCTTTTGTTTTTCTTCCCGAAATCAAAATTGATCCATTATTTTTCTTAATTCATATTCCAAAATCTTAAAATCGTCAATTATGTTGAAATGAATGTAGCAAAATAACAATTACAATGAATCACTAAAGCGACCGCGTCTGAAGCATAACTTAATGATAAAGGACATGAAGTGATGTTGTATCGACGAAACTAGTTTAATTTACTTCCTAAGTGTCACAAAAGCTCATAATTTAATTCAAATTTGATGATAAGTGGACAAAATTAGAAAATGAAATAAAGAATCCACAACATAAACATCAACTCATATCAACCCCTTTGATCAATTTTATTTTGCTGTCCTAATTAGAAAATATGTGAATGTTCGAGGAACATTACCATTGTTGTACGGATAAAGGACAACATCTGAAAAAGTGTCCTCTGATTATTAAACTTTTGGATCTAAATTAGCAGACAACATTATATCATAATATATTATCTTATAATCTCAATTCAATGAATTCAAACTTTTTTTATTTACACTAAAGTGTCGTCTTGCCAATTTTTCTAGTCACGACAAAACAGATCAGTTACAAAATCTTCATTCAGGAATAAAATCACATGATTTGTAATATAACTGTTAATTTTTTATATATTTTTTTTTTCCAATTATTAATAATCATTTAATCACATACTAGCTTAGGCAAACTCAAATTCTTGTTATTTTATATATACAAACAATTAAATGAAAACAAATCCCTACCAACTTTAGACAAAGCAGTTTCCAAGAACTAACCATTGCTCAAAAATACATGCACCACCGCCTTCATCATTACTTTCTCTCTCTAATACTGTATGTATACATACATATTCCCTGTATCTATATTCTGTCTCTATATAGACAGATAGAGATATATATGCTTATAATTCTCACTCATACTCATCACTCATCTCCACTTGATCTCTGTTAATTCTCAAACAAACTTTAATTTTCAAAAATTATTAAATATCTGATTTAATTAATTGAGCTGCGGATATGGATTCGTTTAATAGATGTTCATACGCGTCGGCCAGTTCATCTTCGTCGGAAACTTCATCGGATTCATCGTCGTTGTCCGGAATTAAAAGTACTACTACTCCGGCGAATAATGCGGAGGTGTTGTGTGAGAGAATTAAAGGCCCGTGGAGTGCGGAGGAAGACAAGATCCTGACCCGGTTGGTGGACCGGTACGGCGCCCGGAACTGGTCGTTGATCGGTAAGTACGTCAAGGGCCGGTCGGGGAAATCGTGCAGGCTGCGGTGGTGCAACCAGCTCAGCCCGGAGATCGAGCACCGCCCCTTCTCCAAGGCGGAGGACGACGCCATTGCGGCGGCGCACGACAGGTACGGCAACCGGTGGGCCACCATTGCGCGGCTGCTCCACGGCCGCACCGATAACGCCGTAAAAAATCACTGGAATTCCACTCTGAAAAGGAGGTGCATTCATCTGCAACGACAGCAGAAGCGGCGACTCGACGACGATGATTTGAGAGACTGTACGGAAAGTAATACGGCGTCGGAGTTCAGTCCGTCTCCGGCGAGTTGTGATTTTTATGAGCATGATGCGATGACTGCATTGTCACTGGCTCCGCCAGGGACGGAGAGGCGGCAGGAGAATTTTCCGGTGGGATTCTGGAGTGCGTAACGACGTCGTTTCCAGAGACTTGCTCTGGGTTTCGTTAATGATGAATTAATTAATAATTAGCCTTTGCTGACAGTTAAATCGCTTTCAGCCGTTTTTTTAATTTTAATTTGGTGTTAAACACTAATTAATTCCGTATTAATTATTCTCAATTAATCATTACAGTTGGGAATACTTAAACTGTAAGAATGATTATCTAATTTAGAGTGGGGGATGAATTGTCATACATATAAATTTTATGAAATTGAATTAGAATTTTATAAATTGGAAAATAAATTATGATTTGCCGACATAAAAAAATAAAGTGGGAACATTCCTTTTGAGAGCATGTTTTTTCGACATGATAAAGACTAAAAAGACCCCACCATATTAAAGCGCCGGCCAAGTTATTTGCATGCCGAAACGACTAGAGACGGGATCGCCGGAGCAAAATTAGTACCCTCAAGACCCTCCTCTAAATCTAACTCATGCGTTCATCGGAGAGTACGTCTGGCGAAGGCGAACTAATCGACCGGAAAAAGATAAAAATCAAGAGAGGAGGAAAGAATTCAGAAATGGTGTATATTATTGATGTTAAATCGTAACCTAATAGGGTATTACACATTCGTTTATATAGATAATTGTAAACGGATGATTTCTAATTTAAGATAATTTTGTTCGTCCGAGATCTATCCATATTGATTAATCATCGATCATAATTTACATATTTCCTTATCTGTTTATGGAGGTTATACTGAAATCTTTTTCTCTAACAGTTGTCTCCGAGCTCGCCACCAACACTCATTATTCTTCTTCTTACGCGACCTGTTGTGCGTTGACGGACATTTAACGTGTGAATGTCTGCTCGACAATATTCTTATCGATAAGTTTTGTCTTAACATCAGTTCAATCCACAATCGTGCTTACAATTCATTGGGCCTTAGACGAATAGGCTTAATTTCCATCACCCATTGGGCTTTGGCCCAATAACTTTGAATTGGGAAATTCAACCCGTCTGTGCCGACTGATGGGCTTTCTTTTCTAGTGAAGAAATACGATTGGGAAGAATAAAGTTTACCTTTTCTTTTCACTAATCATATTATTTTCTCGAAATAAATATAAATAAATTTTGTTTTTTTTGGATAATTAAAGTATTTATTTATATAGACCTACTATCTTGGAAATTACTAATGTCAAAATGACGATATTAATAATAATAAAACATAAATTAACTGGTTGACAGAATGGCCAGAGCATTAGTGCCATGTGAATGGTTGGCCATTTGTTGGATTAATATTTTTTAAAAATTTTCTTTTGGTTCTTAAATATTTTAATCCACCTATATGTACTTTCTTAATTACGAATTTACGATCCACCATGGATCAAATACTTAAGCCGTACAATAATGCACGATTTATTTACTTAAATCTAAAGTCAACCAGAAATCATGCATGAATTCGTGATAGTCTTACGTAAGGATACTTCGAAACAAATACGAGCGGGGACCATCTCAACACACACACACCCCTTGTTGACTAATGACTAGGATTATTCTTGAATTAATTTAGTTTTGATTCGGACAGGTTCTTCTTCCTCATTGGTTAGTGGGGAGTGATCAGGAATTTTAATCTCTATATAAGCTGAGAATAGAAGTTACTGTTAATTGCAGAAAGCAAGCATCTAAAATGGTAAGTAAACGACTCGCATTTTATAATTTGCATGAAAATATGTCGTATAGCTTTTTTAACTCGTTATGAACTATCTTTCTTTTCTGCAGGGATTCTTCAGAAATGTCAATACTCAGCCCCAACAGCAATCAAAGAAGGGAGGCAACAAAGCTACTATATTTGTTTACGGTACATTAAAAAAATAAATAGTTCTTGTTATTTATTACAATACCGATTCGATCCGAGCTCTTGGAATTGTATCGGAGTTATGGCAGCCCTAGAGACAATGACATTCAGTTCGAACGGAGTTAGTTTATTCAGTTACTTCCATGGCTACATGAACTTCAGCTTGACAAAATCGGCAACTGCACTAACAAACTACCTAGGAACTGCGTTTCTGCTATCGCTCTTTGGGGGGTTTATCTCAGACACTTATCTGTCAAGGTTCAAGACTTGTGTTATCTTCGGATTCTTAGAAGTCTTGGTAAGTTTTTATCCTCTCAATTATGATCCCAACCGTTCATTTTTTTTCATCGCTTCTCGTTATATCAAATTGTTGTCTTAAAGGAAGCAGTAAGTTTTGTAGGAGATTAAATTACTGCATGTAAAAACTTAAACATAGATCCCAATGTGCATTTAATTCCACTAACTATCTATACTAAAAGCATTTGACTAAGGCTCCAGGCTAATCCTTTTTTCTATTCCCAAACCATGGTTACGGAGATACTCAAAATCCGTCAGACTGTGTTATTAATCCTTTCCACATGACAACTGAGATTATATATTAAAATAAAAAACGCTGCTAGTGCAATTCTTTAATATGTAAATCTCTTCTATCATTATTAGAATATCAAGATAGGACAATGCATTATAGTTCAATGACGGTCAATGATCAATATCAAGATTTCAAATATTATCGCATGAATAATGACGACGATGAATGATAAAATAGTGAGAATAACATTGGTAAATCTGTGTACCTTAAAACTCCATTAGGCGCTAATCCAGCAAAAAACCAAAAATGTGCCGTTCTTTCAGGGGTATGCTCTTCTAGCAGTGCAAGCACATTTGAGACAGCTAAGACCTTTCCCATGCAAAGATGTAGTGGGCCCCGCTGGATGTGAACCTGCATCGACCAATCAAGAAGCTATGTTATTCACAAGTCTTTACCTCGTTGCACTCGGGACTGGTGGTATCAAAGCTGCTCTACCTTCTCTAGGAGCCGATCAGTTCGATGAGATGGAGCCTGAAGAAGCTGCTCCTCTTTCAAGCTACTTCAACTGGTACATGTTTTTCCTTAACCTCGGAGCAATATTTGGGGTGACATTTGTTGTCTGGATAAACACAAACCAGGGATGGGATTGGTCATTTGGTGTGTGTTCTATTGCAATGGTGATATCTGTTCTGGTTCTGAGCATGGGGCGTTCGGTTTATCGGAATAACACTCCAAGCGGAAGCCCTTTAACAAGAATTCTACAGGTATAATAACCTACGAGCCTCCTTTCGAGGTTTATTATTATGACAGATTCTAGTTAACCCGTTTATGTTATAGGTGTTTGTAGCAGCCATTAGAAACCGGAATCTTCCATTACCAGCCAGGGCAGAAGAATTGCACGAACTTCACGACAAAGAAGCTGAACAAAGCGAGACACTTCAAAGAACTGATCAGTTCAGGTACTTATAGCATACAGTGGGCATTTTCAAGAATTCAAAATATGAAATAAACCAAAATTCATTGGGAAAAAAAAATTACTTACAGGTTCTTAGATCACGCAGCGATTGTAAGACAGTCAGCTGTTACTGACACCTGGAAAACATGCACAGTCACACAAGTAGAAGAAACAAAAATCATAGTCAGAATGCTCCCAATAATACTCAGTACCGTATTCATGAACACATGTCTGGCTCAGCTGCAAACCTTCTCCATTCAGCAAAGCACCACAACCGACAGAAAAATCGGAAACTTCCAAATCCCAGCATCTTCAATTCCATTAATACCCCTACTCTTCATGTCCATACTAATCCCATTATACGACCAAGTCTTTGTCCCCACCGCCCGAAAGTTCACCGGAATCCCCACCGGAATCACACACCTCCAGCGAGTCGGAATCGGACTCGTCCTGTCAGCCATTTCCATGGGAGTGAGCGGAATCGTCGAAACACACAGGAAAAGCGTAGCTGTAAAGCACAATATGGTGGATTCATCGGACCCCTTGCCAATGAGCATATTCTGGATCGGAATACAGTACGCTATATTCGGAGTTGCAGATATATTCACACTGGTAGGGCTGTTGAATTTCTTCTATGCTGAGAGCTCTTTGGGGATGAAGTCACTAGGCACAGCCATTTCGTGGTGCTCGTTCGCCTTTGGATACTACACCAGCACTGTGGTGGTGAATGTGGTGAACTCGGTGAGTGGAGGTTGGCTGGCTAGTGATAACCTGAATAGGGACAAACTCGAGTACTTCTACTGGCTGTTAGCAGGACTAAGTGTGGTTAACTTTGGGGTCTATTTGCTATGTGCTTCTTGGTATAAGCACAAGAAGGTACTAGTGAAGCATGGAGATAGTGACTACGTTGAGAACTCTTAGGAATTCTAACCCCTCTAAGAATGTTGAATCTTCTGTATTTCTGCCTTGCAACATACTAAGGACTTATTTGGTTATGAGTATAAGATTATGCAATCTTATGATAACATATATAAAATAATTGGACTATGGAGTCTAAAGTAACCAAACATCAAATGAAATCCAATTATTGAACTAGCTATCACCCATTTTTGCAAACTAGACAACCAAACAAAGACTAAATATAGAATGAGATGTGACTCCACTTACCAGCTCCATCGATGAAAAAATTCTCCAAGAGTACATAAGATACAGAACTATTAACACATTTTACATGCATGTTAATAACCATGGGAGAAGGGAGAGGTATCTCTGTATGAGAAATCTGTAATTACATTTAACCAAGTAATTCATTGTTAATTTACAATTCCACTTTCCAATAGGTTGCGCAGATCAATATACCTATATGGAGAACTTGATACAACAGAGGAGAGGAAAAAGCTGCTCGATTTCAAATAACGATAGTCGAGCTTTTCAAAAAAGATAAGACAAAGTTTTCCTACCATTTCACGTCCAGTGTTAGTGCCTCGGGAGGAACTAGCACAGAGGGAAGCTTTGTGAACGAAAGATTCGACAAAATGCTGTTCCAAGAAAATGAATCCGTGTCAATCAAAGGGCCCACTTTCTTGACTGTTATGGGCTTCAAAACCTCGCCTTCAATTCTCGCCACTACTTCGAACCACACACGTTCAATAGTAGGCTTAGTTCTCCACTCAGCCAATGTAGTCCATGAAGTGTCGTTAGCTCTGATATCTCTTTCCAGTCCCAAATGAAACCGAAATACGTTGACTGCTCTAATTCTTGTCTTTAGAGACCCCAAAGCAACATTTGCATTGCCTCCTCTATCACTTAGGAAACTCCTTAAAAGTTCTTCCAGTAAGGTAATTCTAATTCTCAACGAACTAAGAAGATGCCTCGGTTTCTTGTAGTTTGGCTGGATATGACACTTGTCAGGCAATAGTTTAATTGCATCTTCGGATGTTAAGGCAGTTTGAATAAGTGAGTCAGGTCTTCGACTTTTGTAGGCAACCACTGATGCGGAACCCACAATATGTATAGGTAGCAGTGCTGTGCAAAAAGCAGGCCATTTTCCATAAGTGAAAAAATCACGTGGGAGATGATTATCGGAAGGATGATATATGGTAATTTCTTCTGCCCCTTTCACTTCTACGGTGATGCCTTCACTAACTGATATCCGATGCAAGCCAGAGTGCGAAGTGTTTAACTGAAATATATATTCAAGAAAACTCACTCTCAATATGGTTTCGGAGGATAAAAATGAAAGCCTGATTCACAGAGACTGTATGAAGTACTACTAACTATAAAAACCAATTCTTCAGACAACAATATCAAATGTGTAAATTAGTTCAATGTGGAAACAAAATGGTTGCTTTGTGAGTTGTCCCTAGATTTGTATTCCAGATATGTAGTCATAACAAAGAGGTTTTGACAAAAGCACCACATAGTGAAGAAATTTCAGTTAGCATACAAATTCGACAGTATAAAATGCATTCACGAACAGTCTCATGTACAACGAGAGCAGCAAAACAAACATTTTCATTTTAACTAGCAAACTACAGCAGAAAACCGAGATCAATAACTCGAAACAGTAAAATTCTACACATTAGCAGACAAAGGCATAATAAAATGGAAGGATAAAAACAAAACTCACCGGCAACATGAGTGAGAGTTGATCAACATCTCTTGCGACCCGCAGCTCAAATGGTCCTTCAATTTTAAAACTATCAATTACAGCCTTGGAACCAATTTTCCTCGCCACAGACTCAAAATCCGATGTCTCATTTGTCCTCACTTCTAACAATTTCTTCCACTCTGACCCTTCCTCAGACATCTTAAGAACAATTTCGGCTTTCCCAGCACGAACACGAAACTCATATCGTTGCACTGACCGGAATTTAGCTTTCTTTACATCCAATTCCGAAACCCGAATGTACTCCACTGTCCATTTCTCTCTATTGGCAATTACATCCAGAACACCCTAAATCAAATCCCAAAAACAATTAGGAAAAAGAAATTAAAAAATAAAATTAAACAAGTCACTGTGTAAAACTCATAAATAGAAGTCCAATCACCCCTATCTAAATCGAAAATAACCCAATTTAATTCTTCTTCTCAGCTCAACTCTTCAGTCACAAAAGAGAAAAAGGCAAGTTCGTGATCAACAAACTCACACCTGAGAATACCCGTTCGAAACCCTTATTTTCACTCCAGCAGTATCATAAACTAAGGAAACAAAGCATATCATAAATTAGAATCATCAAGTGACGAATATATTTTGAAGATACAATCATCAAACAAACCTGTAAAAATTGCGGGGGTTGAGGAGTGATGTCCGATTCGGTGAGGGCGGTGACTCTGGGATAGATAAAGTGGGATAGGTTGAAAGGGGGCGGCGGCGGAATGATTGACGAGCGTATTAACGAAAGGGAATTAACAATAATCAGCAAAAATGACGCAAAATATCGAGTGACCATCGCAATACTGTTGTGAACCAGAATTGATTATCGATCTACGACGAATAAGCCGACAGTATTATCGATAATCAGCGGCGGGGGTGGGGGTGGGAGTGGCGGTGGCGGTTGTTGCCGATCTTTGGTGCAATTTACGATAATGGACTTCTGTGGCGGTGACTTGACATATTCAGGTGTAGAAGGAGCCAAAAGGATTGCTGACGTAATTATTTCAATTTGATGTTTTCTTCAATTGAATCATTTTTTGAAAAAATCTAAGTTAAAAATGACCGTGAAATTTTTCCTGTTATCATGTTTTTTTTTTATTTCATTTTCATGGGTTAATCTTATGCTATTAGCTTAATTTAATAAAATCAACAAAATAATTTTTTAATTAAAATTTAATAATTTGTAAGTATTATAATATTAAATAACCAGAATATTTTTTTTAGAAATAGTCCGGGCACGAGTTCTCGAATTGAAGAAAATGTAAATTACGACGACCCGTGAGGAAATGTCAAATTACGAAAAATCTTATCTTTAGGTAATTACAATCACTAATAAACTATGAATTTAGTTGAATCTTTATAATTTAGTTTTTTTTTTTTTAATTTAGTTGAATCTTCTAGATAATGTGGAATATTCTCCAATTTGTACTCATTTTTATCTCATTTGAGATCCACATTTTAAAATAAGATAATCATAAATTGTGTCTCTTTGACTTATAAATATCAGATTGTGGTAATAAGAAACTGCATTTTTGCAAAAAATCAACAAACTAGAGAACATTCAATGGAATCTAGAAGATTGTGTTGAATTTAACAGCATAATTTTGAAAGTGTAAGAACATTCATAGTTGACGAGTGATTATAGTTACCCAAAGAAGAGGAGTTTTTTCGAAATTTAACCTTATCACGGGGTGGCCGTAATTTTTCTAAGAAAAAGTGTGGTATTTGTTGATACTTATTGTGCTCTATTACTATTGTTCATATCACAATTGATGAATATTGCATCCTTCTGCATTTATATTTAAAAAAAAAAGGCATAAACAAGCACTAGTAAATATAACTATTAATAATTTATAGGGTAAATTACAAACACCCCCCTGAGGTATGGTCAAATTACAAAAACACCCCTCTTGTTTGGATAATTACATCTACCCCCTCAACTATTGATTTTTTCTTACACCTCCACCCTTATTGTGCCAAATTCAACATAATCATCTAGATTCCGTGGAATGTGCTCTAGTTTGCATTCGTTTTGTGTGAAAAATACAGTTTCCGATGGACCACAAACTGATATACACAAGCTAAAAATCACATATTATGATCATCTTGCTTCATAATGTAGAGTTTGAATAGTATAAAACGGGTACAAAAGTGATAATATTTCATAAAACCTCGAAGATTCCACAAAATTTGAGGAGCCGAGGGGGTGGTTGTAATTATCCAAACAAGAGGGGTGTTTTTGTAATTTGACCATACCTCAGGGGGGTGTTTGTAATTTACCCATAATTTATAATGAGGGAGCTCCTCATTTTCAATTTTTTTTTTTTTGAGAATAATACATAAGTTGTAGACCCTTAACAAAAGAAATCATGTTATCAAAATCAGCTATTTTGTAACAACACAATAAACACAAAGGGCAACTACCGCACATATTTCTGGTCGAATTCACCTCCAATCATCAAAACAACCCAACTTGTTGCCCCAAAACGACATCGCACCCATCATACACTCCATCGTCGCCAACACCAGAGTTTCATTGGCCACCATATAATCACGAGATGCACAGGATTGCATCCCACTTTTCATTCAGATTTTCTTTTTCTTTTTTTTCCCATCACAAGTTGAATGATGCACAAGATTGTAGATATAATTCAAATCCAGCTAAATGAGGATAGCTGTCGTACGTCGTAACCATGATCCATCATAAATAACACTTTCGAATATATCAAGTATAAGGAAATCGGTACTCACAGGTGTGCCCACAATATGCCCAGCTGGGGCCAAGAAATGATTTTTGGAATAAAAATCAAATCGATAGAAGAATTGATTTTATCCGGAAACGGGGTTTCGAGGTATCATGAAAAAGCAGCAGCACTTCTCTGTTGTGATGTGTTGTACAGTGTGTCGGACACCTTTGAAGGAGGCCAGTATCGGAATACTGATCTACCAAGAATGTTCTCGATAGGCAGCGGGCCCCTGTAGAAGGCAGCAAATCCAAATTATAGGTAATGGAAATACAACCACTAATTAAATTATAAGTTACTTATTTCCGTTTCTGTTAATTTATTTAAGGGTGCATTTGGATGGAGGGATTTGGAGGAGGGATTTCAAATCCATAATAACAAATCCCTCGGACTTGTTTGGATTGAGGGATTTGGAGATGGATTTCAAATCCCCACCCCTCCTTTTTAGTTGATTTTGGAGCAATAGTGATGGATTTCAAATGACTCCACAATTGGAGTCATTTCAAATCCATTCCCCAAATCAAATCCCTCCCCAAATCCCTCCATCCAAATGGACCCTAAGAGATTTGTTATCCAGGAGTTAAGACTTCAGGCATGCATAAGAAGTAGACGGGATTGCAGTTTATAGATAGATAACAGGAATAATCATACTGCAATATATTGCTTACCAGTTATGAGAGTCAAAACTGTTATTACGGTTGTCTCCCAGCACAAACACATACCCTTCTGGTACAAGCTGCAAAAAATGAGAAAAACATGTGTCAGTTTTCTCCTGATTATTACATAATGACGAGTCATGGTTACTGGAAATCAGGCAAAAGAAATTATTACCGTTGGTTCCATTTCATAGTCAAGTGGCTCCAAAACATAATCCTCGTCTTGAGCTTCGTCATTGACCATCAATTTTCCATCACGAGCCTGCACAAGGAATAAAATTAGACCACACGACGGAGAATATAAAACAAGAGAAAATTCAACAAACAGTTAACAGTTTCTTACTTCTACGCAGTCACCAGCTTTCGCTACAACTCTTTTGATGAACACATCGGAAGAACTAAAGCCAAATTCCTGCAAGGGGAAGGGAAAACAAAGTTTTACAACTCCAGGATAATTGATACAACATATGACTATAGATTTCAAAGTAGTTTATTAAGTCAATGATGCTACAAACAGTTAATTAAATACCTGCAGATTTGATGGAGCCTTGAAAATCACAATGTCCGATATCTCAGGCTTCCTGAAGATGTAAGAAACCTGGAAAAACCACCCAAAAGATTTAGCATATAAATCACATACTATTTATAACATTTTTCATCTTAATATCAAATAAAACTAAATCGGATACACTACAACTTATACGTTCACATATATATATGATCCGCATATACTTTTTGACGAAATGAACATGATATCAGAGAATAATATGCCCTGGTTCAGTCTTGAAACTCATTGTTATAGTAAGATTTTCACCCTAGGCAACTTGAACTAATTAACATCCAGTCATCGAAAACAAAAACAGAAGCCCACGTATCATAATAAAATTATCTACTACAACATTTAAAGGCTTTTCGATAACAAAATAACAAAAGCACTACAACCTTGAACTCACACGTAAAATGTGTAAATCACAAAATGGAACTATGTAGGTTACAATAGTGGCATCCACAAATGGTATTTAAAATTGATTTTCGTTTTCTGGACACAAGAATCTTGATCAAACCCTACTGCCTCACTAAGGTCACACATCTAAAACTCTGGCAATACGAAAGTAACTAACTCAACACTTCAATTAAGCACTTGTCCACTTTTTAATGTTTCTTGAAGAACAATGAGATATGTTAAATGTACCACACAATCTCAATACAAAGCTACAATTATTAATACCTAGATATACAAGACAATCTAAATACACATCAAAAGTGAAAAGACCCCCAAGCTAAAACATACGAGTTCAAGAATTGCTTCAAAATCCAATTTAAATCCTACAAATTCTTCATACAATACAGAACGTACCTTCTCAGCTAGAATCCTATCGCCCACATCAAGTGTCGGGTACATAGACATGGAGGGAATCGACCTCGGCTCGGCCAAAGTCGACTTAAACATAATGCCAACGCTGAAAGCGGTGAAAGCAGCCTTAGCATCATCAGAGGTGAAGCAACGGTTCATCAATTTCAACAGCCAGCTGCTGCTTTTACCACCCCTGCTCCGCGGAAAGACCGTCACACTGCTTGCGCCACCACTCTTGGCCATAGCGAATGCTTCGGAGCACTTACTTTCACCACCATTAACACTGTCACTCTTGGATTCTCCTTTGTTGATTATGTAGGTTTTGCTAACAGCAACTGTGCCTCCTCTATCGACCTCCATGTTCGTGCAGTCGTTAGAGGGTAGCCACTTGGAACCCGAGAAGAAGGGAAGGATGGACGAGGCCTTGGTCGGAGAAACTCCCAAAACGGCCACGGCAGGAGAAACCCCAATAGACTGCTTGACTAGAGAAATTAATCCCAGAACCGCAGGCGATTTGCTACTCCCGCCGAGAATTTCTCCGGCCAGTAGGGAATGCATCGACGGCGTTGGGTTGACGCGGTCAAGGTTTGAACCACGGCGGCAGAATTCGGAGTAGTTGGAATCGGGTTTCTGCGGCGGCGGGTGTTGGAAAATCCGCGATCGCGTGGCGCACTCGTGGAGGAATCGAGAGGTGGCGCATTTCCCGGAGGCGGCGGATGATCCGGTGAGGTTTGAGGCGATAGACGCCGAGTAGGTAACGGTAAACCGAAGAGCCATGAATGCAAATTGTAAGAGACTAACGAATAAGTAAATGAAAATTGTGGGGTTTGTGTAGAGCTGTGAGATGAGGAAGAGCTCTACAAAGCGAATAACGCCATCGTGATCGAGAAGACCAGTGATGAATCGGAGCAAAAAGGGGGGAATTGAAAGGTAGGGCTAGATCAATGGGTATGGGGGGAATTTAGAGAAGTCAACGGCGAGAGCTGGGAGAAGCAAAAACCAGACGGCGGCGATGCGGCGGAGCTCTTCCGGAGAAAGCGGAAGAGGGCGGCGGGCGCAGGACGACTGGAAGACTTCAGGCAAGAGAGAGAAAATTTCACCGGAGCAAAATTGGGATCAAGGGTTTAATAATGAGAGTGGCTATTATCGTTATACGTGGATGCCCTTCAATCCACACATTATTACGGAAACACCATCACAATGTTTTATGCGTTTACCAATTATTGCCCATTAGGAAATTATTTAGGCTGCGGCTATATGCAATACTCATTCCATTTGTGCAAGACCAAATTAAAGAAAGATTCCAAAAGATTCTATTTTATTAAGATGGAATGACAACTATGCCCATAAATTAAATTGGCTTTTTTTTCTCATGTAAGACCAAATACAAATAATGAGAAAAAAACAAAAATCGACACCAAGGTGTCGAAAAACTATGCTACAAATCGACACTTAAGCGTCGAATTTCATAGGTAAAAATCGACATTGACATGTCGAATTTGTAGCACACATTCAAATGTCGAATTTTATACCTCAAAATCGACATCTAAATGTCGAATTTTATACCTCAAAATCGACATCTCAATGTCGATTTTTACCTGTAAAATTCGACCTGTACATGTCGAATTCGTTTGTGCGGAATTTTTTTTGGAAAATCGATATTCTAGCTAAAAAAAACCCATAAATGCATACATTCTTGGGTTCTTCCATCGTAGAATCTTCTATTTTGATGTCTTCTGACTCCATACTTGCCATCTTTGTAAGATTTGTTGAGTTTTGATGATTTTGAATTTCTAGGTTTTGTGGGTTAATGGAGGAGGAAGGAGAAAGGTCTTGTGAGTTTTGGAAGATGGAGAAGATGATAGTTGGTCTTGTAGTTTTGTGGTCTTGTGATATGGTTTTTTGTGTTTTTGAATTTTTGGTCTTGCATATTTGGAATTTTTTATTTTTTTAATAAATAAGGGTATTATAGTATTTATACATTGAAAATTTTAATTTGGTCTTACACAAGTGGAATTAGTCTTGCATATAGCCGCAGCCAATTATTTATTATCCAAATTGTTGATTTTTTATTACATTAATTATCAAATACTTTATAAAAAAAAAATCATAAATCATTTATAATGATGCAATTAGACACTTTTGGTCCAATCAGCTAAAATAATGACAATTTCATCAGTGCTGGTAATTCTAAATCAATCATGTGGGCAAAATAGACTTTCCGCGTATGTAAATATTATAATATTTCTGTTTTTAGTTGACTGAGCAAAAACCAACGTGGTTGGGACCTGGTGTTGCTTCCTCGTCTACTTCGTGCTGCATAAAGTCTTTGCTTCGTTTGGTTGCTTTCACACATAAAACTTGTGGATTGACTTAAATACCCCTGTCTGATTTGACCATGAAGTTTGATCATAGATGGTGTGACAACAAGTCTACAAATTATCCACATCTTTTCTAATCCGAGGAAATAGTTTATGGTTTTTTCATGTGCATTTTATAAATCTGACGATTAAATCAGAATTAAAGTTTAAAATTATGTATTCTTCATTTAATTTTTTTTTTTGGGAAAACTTCGGAAATCAAATTTCAGAAAGAGGAATAAAATTCTAAACTTGAAATTTTTCGAACTGAAATCGGCGTAATTCATGAATTCTATTATTTATTATATATACTAAAAATGCGTAATAGTATTGATATCATAAATTTGAATTATTATAACTAGTTTAAACAGTAAAATTGGATTGGAACCCATATAATATTCCAACTTGAATTCAAAAAAAATTGAAAATCAAAATTTTAATCGAATGAAAAATATTATTACGAATTTAAATTGAAAATTTCAAAGAAAATAAGAATTCGAAGATCCCAGTCCAATTACCACACGAGTTTTGACCATAATTGTTGGTAAGATATGTGACATAATATAGAATTTGAGTTTGCTTCTCTGACCAATTGCAAATTAAATATATAGTAATAGCATTATAAATCTTAAATATACATTAGGTAGTGCTAGTGACGCAGGAGCTTACGTATCAACTAATGTTGGAACCTTTTCTAGACTCAGCTAAAAATGTTTATTTGTAAGTTGTTAGAAAACTATATTAATCATAACAAATTGAAATAAATTATAGCGCAAACTATACTCACTCCGCCTGACGTAAGATCAAATTACAAAAAAAACTCTTATTGTTTGAGTAATTACAATCATCCTTCTCAATTACGTATTTATTTACACGGCGTTAAATTTACCTATTTAAGAAGGGGGTTTTTCATAACACAATACATAATTAAGAGAAGTGATCATAATTATCCAAACAATAGGATTTTTTTTTTTTATAATTTGATCGTTATATCGGGGAGATGAGTGTAATTTGCCCTATAATTATAAACAATGGGCTGAAGTTCAATAATTTACGAGCAGGGACCAGATGCAATGAATGTGTCACTTCAAACTGCTCCAACTAGTCTGAAAAGGCAAATACAAATAATTGTGACCTGAATCATAATCAAGAAAACACTAATAAGAATGTCACCTGGAAAATAAATTCAGTCAACATATTTAGCTTCCTAATCTGACTGTTACAACAGTATAATCCAAAAACTTTCAAATAAATACTTAAATCACAGTGATTCAGGTAACTTCTCATTTTCCTGAATTTTTCACACTGTAAATATTCAAAGCAAAATTTGCTCTTGTTGCCCTTCAGAACTTTGTTTTCCGGGGGCGGTGGGGGTGGTTGAATTAGAAGGTTGATATGAAAGATTCATCAATTAGAAGGTTTCTGACAGGCGGCAAAAAGCTGCCAGCTAATGAAAGCCATTACCAAAGAAGTGAACAGCTCAAATCCTACCACCTTCGGCAACTGCCATCCCAAGCTCAGTTTCAGATAACTGCAAACAAACAAAAAAGAAACACGTGGATGTTTATCGACTGCAATAATACAGATGAATAGAAATGAGCGCAAACACACGTATATATACATAACATAGTAGAGAGATATACCTTGTAATTGATGGCATTGTAGCCACAATTCCTGCGCAGGTGTATATAATAGGAATCAAAGTCTTGGGCTTGTTTTTCCTGAGCCACATTAGAGATCCTAATGCAGCAAGCGATATACTCAACACCTGGGAGCAAGATAACGACGAGGTCATCAAATTGTGTATAAGTAGATTTTACGGAACTTCCATAAATAATAAATAAATAACTATATGTTAGAATTAACATTCGATTGATGTCATGGCTGGTAAAAGTATGAATATCATTCGAATGTGATATACTTTCGTACCAGATTAGCATTCGCTTCGAGACCCTGTAAAATGTAGTCCCAAGTGAATTCTAGACCTCTAGCACCCACCCAAAGGGGTGCCAGCCTATGGAGGACGGAATCGGCAAACGCCCAACCTGCCAACAGTGAAAACAGAATCTTAAATGCTGAACGGAAGAAAGGCATATATTGTTAATAGAAGTGGATGGAGCATTCTAACGTAAACCGATAGCTCTACATTATGTCCTTAACCTTAATGTCATGTCTTAATCTAAACATGACCATAGAACAACGATATCTGGCCAGTTGTTGGAAAGGAAATTGAAAAACAAAAGAGGACGAGTAAGAAAAAGGGTAGCAGAACAATAACTTACCGAGCCCAACAGCTTGAAATTTGTGATTTTGAGAAATATTCCTATGAGTTAACCGTGTCAAGGCAAAATAAAGCCCAGCAACATCTACGAATCCAATCAAAGCTTTCAACAATTCCTGAGAGAGAATCATTGAAAAAAACTTGAGAATTATAAATTGAAATATAATTAATGCCAGAAGGAAGAAAAGAAAATGATTATCAGTTTATCAGTAATCATGATCAGCAATTTTTCCCTGTTGAGAATGCTGGAGAAACAATGCAGAACGAAGGCATTGTTTGGTGCCGTTTTCATTTTCTTCCCACTCTTTCCCCAAAATGCAATTAGCAAATGCAAAAAAGACTAATTACTAAACCTTCCCCGAGAAATTCATTTCATGATCCCCCTTATAGTTATTAAAGTTCACGGATGTATGAATAAAATGCTGGGATAAATTTCCAATTTCAACGAATTTAAAGGGATCGAGTGGCGATTTAAATTAGTTTTCATGTAAATATTCTCAAGAGCCATCCTCTGCACACCAAGAGTCCACGGTTATATTATAAAAAAAATGTATAAAGACCTTCGCTCAAACAATTAGAAAATAGATAAATTACGTAGATAACAGAAAATCACTGTTTCCAGTGCTTTAAGGCACCCAATAACAAAAGTCAGCATACATTTACAGAGGAATGACTACTAAATACGATAAAAGTAGATCCGCATAACAGTAATTACCTGATACGGATCAAAACTGTCACTTTCAGACACCTTAAGAAATGTTGCAAGACAAACAAGCTGCAAGAGAATCGGCAGTTGGTTAAGAATTCATCCCAATGAAGAAGAAAGCACGGAATGATTCATTACGATCAAGACAAACCAACCTTCACTAATGCTGTCACAAGATAAACGACCGCTGTTTTAACTGAAGTACCAATCGTATCATACTCGGATCTGTTGAAGGAAAAACGGTCAATGTAATTAAACCCTATCACTATTCGCACATAATTTTAACGACAAGATGGCATTTGAACTAAAATCAAAGTAGCTGCTGAAACTAAGAACCCAATCTAGTGAAACTGAAAGAAAGGTGGATTCATATACTATCCAAGCAATCTAATTCAATTGGCGTCAAACTTCACTACATATATCTACGCAATACAGTATCGAGAATCATCGATATCAAACTAAATCCCGATTCAGTTACTTGAAACATAATTCACAGTATAAACACAATTAATATCCCAATCTATCCGACCTAGGATAATATCTAACTTACATAACCCTCCAAAATCATACAAAAGAAGCAATACATATAAATTAGGGAAAATAATGGTATAAAGCAAATCTCCCTGAGAAAATCTCTGCGGTGACAATTAAAGGCTCCCGATTAATCAAAAGAGATCTGATAATAAATATCACAACATAGAGAGAGAGAGAGAGAGAGAGAGAGAGAGAGAGAGAGAGAGAGAGAGAGAGAGAGATTACAAGGGGGTGGCGGAATAGTAAACGGCGTGAGGACCAAACGTCAGAATTGCGCAATTGAAGAAGTGGAAAATCGTCATTCTCCGTCCACTATTCTGCTAACCCAGAGAGATCCAGAAACAAAGTCCTGATGTAAACGATGAAGAGTGGAGTTGATTTATTTTTTGAGTTTATGATAAATTTAATCACTAGCTAATGTTTTATATATTTAAAATCTAATTAAGTTATTGAATAATTCTTATAATTAATTGAAGTTAATATGTCAATATTATTAACAATATTAAGGGGAAATTTAGGAGAGAAGAGTGAGCCCAACACCATACCCAGCTGTTGAAGCCCACTTCCTAATTGGGTCAATGGCCTTTTATGGGCCTTCCTATTAATTAGGAGCGTAAACGAATCGGGTGGTCGTTTAAAATTTTATCACACTTTGGAAATTATATTTAAGTTTGGTTCGACGAGTAACTGAATCTAAGTCGGACTAACTTCAATCGAACTGAACATGAATTGAGTTCGAATAACTTCATCTTTTACATTAGTGTGTCATCCTAGGATATCTCTTCCACCCAAAAAAATATTTTGTGCAATATATCATAACCACTCAAAAGGAATAAGTAGTACAACGTCAGAGTAAATGACCAAAAGTCAACGATCGTTAGGTCTGAATTTGTCACACGTTTAAAACTGAGTTCAAACTCATGAACTCGGACTCCGAACTTTTATTGTAATGGCTCACAAAGCTCATACCAATGTATATACTCCCAAATTGGTTGGGATTTTGAAGCATTACTTTTATTTGAATCCGATTGAATGGAAAGTTATGAATTTAAATTAAAGTGTTGGGTGGTTTGGATGTTTGTTGTTTGCCGTTTACATTAAAGTAGACTGCCTCAAAAGCTTCAATACAAAGCTAAGCACAACCAACTGATCAAAATAAAGGTCAGCACAACCAGAAAAAGCACCCCATTCTAGGAAAACAAATAATGTGCTTTTTTGAGTTTCTGCTTATTTTAATGATAAATTACGGTTACTCGAGACGTAACGTCAAATTGTGAAAAAAAATCTCTCTTGTTTGGGTAATTACAACCACTCTATCAACTACGAATTTTCTTGCGCGTGTTTCTTGGCTTATAGATATCAAATTGTGGTGCATTAGAAACTGCATTTTTGCACAAAATGAGTACAAACTAGAGAACATTTCACGGAATCTAGAAGGTTCTGTTGAATTTGACATCATAACGATATACGTGTAAGAAGATTCATCATAGACTAAAAAAAAGGGTATTTTCGTAATTTAACCTTACATCGGGGATTGACCGAATGTTACCCTATTTTTAAATGGAACTTAAACAATGTGGATCAGCTAAACATCTTTATTAAGTCAACAAAGTAAAGTTTTATGGCCGTTAAAACAAATATTTGAACTTTAACAAGGAAAATTTGACTTAAATATTAAAGTTATGTGTAAACCTTTTTTTTTTCTCTTCTTAAACCTCATTTAAATTTTGAATTATTGGAATCTAAACATAAACCTAAAATAATAATAAATAGAAACAGAAGCTGTAATCATTATGGAATGATGGAACTTTAGTAGTTCCCCAAATTTGCACCTGTTGAATTCTACCATTTTCGGAATTTCGGAGTGGCGGTGCTATTTTCTCCCCGTTTTACCCCTCTTTACCGCAGATCCGACGTCGCTTCATGTTCCCGCCAAAACACAAAACGACCAACCCGCACGGCGGCGTCACGGCGGAGAAGGTGATCGTGGCTGTTAAAGCTGAGAAGGTCATCTCCAAAGCCGCCTTGGCTTGGGCGCTCACCCACGCGGCTAGGCCCGGCGACTGCATTACTCTCCTCGCCATCTTCTCCGAAAAGAAAACTGGTATGAATCCCCAACATTTCCGTTGAAACCACTTCATTTTGTTTTCCTACTGTAAATCTATAATCGAATTTCTTAATTGAGAATCAGGCGGGAGGGGGTTTTGGAGATTTCCGCGGTTGAAAGGTAATTGCCGGAGCTGTGACCCGGCTAAGCTCCCGGATAGGGTTTGCCAGATATCCGAGTCCTGTTCTCAGATGATTCTTCAAGTTCAGGATCAAATCGAGGTACTTAATTAATTTACTACTGCTTCTGTTTATAATGTGCTGGGCAATTTTGGGGTTACTGTTTTTATTGGGAGAAAAAAAAAACACCACTTTGATAGGCGTGCTTAACTCGGAACCGAAACGAGACTAAAAATACTAACTGAAGTTATGGAAAATGATCGAGAATTCCGATGAAACCAGAGAATAGAATAACTTGATCTTTCTGGTACTATTTTTGTGTGGAATTCAATTCAATTGTCTGGATTTTTGAAGGTTTTAAGTTTGTAAATATGCTGAATTTGGTTATATAGTCCGTAGTACAATAAGTTACTCGAGGCGTGAATTGATAGTCCGTTTGTCAGTTTTTTTCGATTGACTACTGATTAGGTTCATGGTGTATGAATGCTTCTATGGAGGAGCATAAAGATAGAGCTGATATAATAGAGGACATTGCCACTACTGTTGTTGGGTTCCGGGAAGCCGTTTCCTCTCAAATCTTGGACTACTGACCGACGTGTTTATGACGTGTTTACGTGCTTTCTTGAAAATTATTATGAATTTCTTTTCCACCACGTTCGAATAATAGCTTGTAATTTCTGGATCTATAAGTTAAATTTTGGTTGTTGTTTGTAGGTCAGAGTTAGGATCAAAGTTGTATCAACTACATTTGCTGGTGCGGTCGCAGCTGAAGCAAAGAGCAATTCCGCACATTGGGTCATATTGAACAAGTAAATTAACCTAAATATGTCACGAAGGGTTCTATTTTGAAAATTAACAAGCAAAGAGCAATTCTGAAAGCTCGATTTTGTTGATGTTTTTCCCTTAAGACAGGAAATTGAAGGACGAGATTAAGCATTGCATGGACGAACTGCGCTGCAATATTATAGTCATGAAGGGTTCCCAGCCAAAAGTTGTTCGGCTCAATCTAGCTGGCTCGCGTGATCTCAGAACACCCCTTTATTCTGCTGCTTCTTTACCTATTAAGGACGGTAAAAAGTTGCAGTGTCACAATGTGAAGCGTACCACCCACGTCAGCAGTCCCGAGTATCCCAATTCTTCCTACACAAGAACCTCGGTCGAGAATTCAATATCAGCTTCTGACGCAGGGTCGTCTATCTATGTCGTGTATGAAGAAAATCCCCTTTACGAAGAGTTTAGTAAAGATAAGCATCCACCGAGTACTAGACTTAACATGCTTGACCATTTAAAGCCAGGAACCCCAGAATCGGAAACCTGTAGTAATCAAGTATTCTCGGAAAGAGGAAACGGCAATAACATCTCTAAAGATAATAATTTTATCCAATACAGAGGAACTGAAATAAATCAAAATTCTGATGGAAATAGTTCCGTGTGTAACTCTAGCATTTGGGAGGCCGTCTCCTTCGGTAAAACTTCCTCAATACCTCCTCCTTTATGCACATTTTGTAAGTCCAAGGCTCCAGGGTTTGGAGAACCCCCAAAGCAGTTTCAGTACAAAGAGCTAAAGGAAGCCACGCATGGTTTTTCAGACACAAATTTTATGTCTGAAGATGGGTTTGGTTCGGTACACAGAGGTGTTCTGAGGAATGGGTTGACCATTGCAGTGAAGAAAATAAAGTTTGCTGGGCCCCAAAGAGATGCTGACTTCTGCAGGGAAGTTTGCGTATTGAGCTGTGCACAGCACAGAAATGTTGTGTTGCTAATTGGTTTTTGCATCGAGGGGAATAAGAGATTTTTGGTGTATGAATACATATGCAATCGCTCCCTCGACTTTCATTTACATGGTATCTTGTGTTTACTTCGTGATCTATAGTTAATGCGATCGTATCACCTCGTACGAATTCAAACATTTGTTTCGTGCCTTCAGTTGCAGGAAACAAAAATCCAGTTCTTGATTGGCAAACACGTTTGAAAATAGCCATTGGAACTGCAAGAGGCATAGAAATTTGCGGCCGAACAATATCCTCTTAACTCACGATTTCGAACCTCTGGTAAATTACTAAATTGAATTACGTACTGTTTTAGAAGCATATATTAATATATATATATATATATATATATATATATATATATATATATATATATATATATATATATATATATATAATTATATATATATATACATGCACTAATTGACTCACTTTGTATTTCCTTTTATATCAGGTTGCTGATTTTGGATTGGCAAGACTGCACAGCGAGTGCGAACTCTATGATAGAAACCAAACCGTTGGATCTTCATGGTAAATCTCACTATTCATTTCTTGTATCTATTTACGTAATTCAAGTGCATATTTTTTTCGCTGATATTTCGTTTTATGTACACTAGGCATCTTGCACCAGAATATTTCAACGGTGGGAAAATGACTGAGAAAGTCGACATATATGCCTTCGGCCTGGTACTATTAGAGCTAATTACAGGCCAACGAGCCCACGACTTGCAATACATGGGACATCAATTTCTGCTAGATCAAATACACGCTTTTCCTACAACAAGACCACCTAATATATTAGCCTCGTACCAATTACAACGTTCACCATACGAGCTACATTCAATGGGAAGCGTTGCCTCGTTGTGCCTACAGCAAGATCCTAACCTCAGACCTCCCATGTCAAAGGTCTTATACTCCATTCTTGTCTTAGTTAGTTAGCTTCGATTTTGTTTTACGCTGTGAAAGGAGAATTTAGTCATTTACTAGTAAATTTTTCGTTATTTGTTTTTTAGGTGGTTAAAATGCTGGAAGGGGGAAATGCAATGGCTCTGGACTTTGGAACTGTTGGCTGTAGAAGTGGGCACTTGCAGGGACTTAGTTCGAATACGCAATTTGAATCGAAGACGAGGCACTCTCGCAGACTTTCTTACTGATATATGAAGAAACTGGCAAGTTAATTCTTATTTTTCTTCCTCCATTAATATGATTGTGCTTATGTAAATTACTGAAATGTAATGTATTTTTAGTCTTATTTAAAATACGATGCAAATATTTGTAATTTGCATCAAAAGACGAAATCCCTCACCCCTAAAACCTCCATCCTCTGGTCCGACAAGTTTTTGATGGAGTGTTTGTATTTGTGTGTCCACTGCAGCATAAGTTATATACAAGAATAGAGAAGTTGATAAAAA